GTGTCCCTACCTCCGCCTCGTCTTCGAATCCCAACAGTGGATCTGTTCGATCCGGATCCCAATCGGGTCCAATTCGAAAATCCTCACGTCCTCTCTCTCAGCTTCAACTCACCGGTTTAATCACATCTGATCCGCTTAATTCCTCCGGTTCAAGAAGCTCATGTCAGATTGATCATCATCTTCTTCGTTCGAGTAATTCAAGGTCGACCAAACCCAAATACGGATCCGCGGTTACGATTCTGAATCCAGATCTGGTTCGGATCCGGTTTAGAGTACCAAAGCCTGTGATTTGGGCAGTGTTGATAGTAGCTGCAATGGGGTTACTGGTTGGTGTGTTTCTATCTGTTGCGGAGAAGAAACCACTGGGTATGGTGGTGATTGCGGCAGCGATATTTTCGGCAGTTGTGGTTTTGTGTGGAATTGTGTTTGGAGAAGAAGAGGATTGTTGGGTTTCATCAATAATTATCCAAATGCTGTGCTCAGAGGCGCCATTGACTTAATTTTTTTGTGATGATTTGTTTCGTATTAGCTTAGCTAATTTCGTTTTAGACACACAAAGCTCTGACTCTCTTCTCTCGTTTACGAATGATTGATATAAGCCCTAAATTTTTTTTCCCCAAATATAAAACAACGCCATTTTGTTGTTAATCAAGTCAAAGATCAGTGATTTTGGTTAACACAAAACCGAACCAAACCCCGTTAGCCACCTGTAATCCACGTCACAACCTGTTAACGGAAAACATATTCCGTGTGCGGTTTTGTGTAAATTCACCAAATTTTAATAGATGATGGGGGAAATTCAAAATTATATAAAGTTCACGGAGATTTTGGCCTAGTTTAATAGATCACGTATGAATAAACGCTCGGAAGTTTATGGGGTAATTGGCCTTTTTCCCGTGTAAAGTAATATCCTTGTAATTTTCATTATGCATTTAAAAAAAACCTATTTTCCAAAACAAAAAAAAAACATAAATATGGTAACTTAACGCTTTTTTTTTGCGTATAAAATTAGGTTTTATGTTTCTAGCTAGTAAATCCAAATCTAGATTATATGATAGTGAACATGGTAACATTAATACAAAGTATAAAACCGGGTTTTTTATCCATTGTCTATCATTGCAATTTATCGAATTTTGATTATTCAATTATCTTTTAAATCATCTTTTTTTCAAGATTTTCGTCCTTCTTAATAAAAAGGACACATAAATTTATCACAAATCATCTTCTTAATAAATCATCTTCTTAATACTTATCACAAGCGACATCGATTTTGCAAAACCAATATCCTTTTTTTTGTTTTTGTCAAATTCATTCTATTAATAAAAAGGCCTTAGCCCATTACACATCTGAGGTCCACCTTGGCCAATTGACCGACAATCATATTTGTAGATCGCAAAGCCAACACTTCGGCTACTAGGTTGTTGAGGCGTGACGACGAGCGTTCTAGGATGGTGGCTGCCGTGGATTGAGAGTCCATCCGATGCCAGCCATGTCCGATTCAGCCTTCCAGGCCGCGGTGAAACAGTTGATGAATCCTTCCAAATTGGATCGAGGTTTCTGTATGTGGATAGACGGTGTAGATACCATTGGTTTAGGGGGAATCGATTGAGCAAATGACCATTCGCGAGCTTCCTGAACGGCTTTGTGGATGGTTTCGCGATCGTGTCTCTGTTGGTGAAGACTTTTTGGTTTCTACATATCCAAAAAGCCCAACATATCCAAGAGGAGAGGGCTCCTTTATCGAGTCCGATCAGGGGCAAAGAGAAAAGTTTCTTCACCAGAGTTAGGCCAGTGTAGCCCAATTTTGTAGAGTACTCACCAGAATGATTTCGTAACCATATTCTCTTATATTGAGCCCCCAATAGACTAGGTTTTAGTGTGAGAATCATATGTTTATAATGTGGCAGGATTTGATCAATCTTTTCCTCATTCCAGGTATTCAATTGTGGATGGAGCAGATCACTAACCTTCAGGGTTTGTTGGCCTTATTGTATAGGTCCAATTGGTTGAGTACGCTCATTGGGGGATAGCCATGCTTCACTCCACAGGTTAGTTTCTTTCCCATCCCCTATGGCCCATCCAAGTTGTTTTTTAAGCAAATCTCTTCCCACAAGTAGGCTTAGGATTCTAGGAAAGAACACTCTAGGAAAGAAGCATCTCCA